CGAGTAGCCCTCCGGGATCACGTCCCGAGTTTCGGTGCCGTCTGCGCGAGGCTCGACAATATTCAAGTATGCGAAGTCGGGATAGCGGTCGCGGAGCTCGGCAATAAGATAGGTATAGGTAGGCTTCGGATGATTCCAGTGCATCTCTGGCAAGAAACTTGAGAAATGCGGTCATCGAAAAAGTAGGGGGGAAAGCCCACCATTAAAGTCACTCCAGGGGCTGACACGGAGGCCTGTTTTCTTCTGCCCCACTGCCTTGACGACGGCTTCCGCGATTTCGTGCACAAAACGAGTGCGGTTCTCGACCGATCCTCCATATGCGTCCGTGCGGCGATTGGTGTGCTCGTGTAAGAATTGATCGAGCAGGTATCCATTCGCTGCGTGAATCTCGACTCCGTCGAAGCCAGCCTTGTGCACGGCGTTCGAAGCCGCCGTGGCGTAAAGCTGGATATACTCCCGGATTTCCTCAACGGTGAGCGGTCGAGGAACCTTCTGGTCTTTCATTGGAACGTCGGACGCCGACACATAGGGAAGACTCTCCGCCTTAAGCGTCACTGAATCGGCAGCCCGACCGAGCGCCCACAACTGGAGATATATGTACGAACCCTTCCCGTGAACCCTGTCGGTGACCTATTCCAGATAATGAGCTTTGTAGAAATAAGCCGAATAATAAAACATGCCTTTTTCCATGCCGCTATCTGCTCGTCGGACCAGATTCCAACATTGTCGTATCCTCCAGCGCGCGGGGCGATAAGCGTTGATTCTGTGATAAGGAGAGTACCAGGGGTACTGGCACGCTGTTCGTAGTACTCGGCCACGTGAGGGAGAGGAACATGGTCTTTATCGCACCGGAAACGCGTCGAAGGCGCGAAAACCACGCGATGCCCGAGTTTGATGTCACCCACAAAAATCGGTTGGAACAATTTGGGTGTCACCATTGATTTGAAAGGTAAAAATGCTTTGAAGTTTTTACGAAGCACCGAACATTGTCCAGCATTTTATGTGTTCAGTGGGCGGAGTAATTCAGCCGTGGGATGGCCGAGGCCTTGTCTGCGTGGGCGGCTAGGTCCGGGCTGTTCGACGCGCCAGGACCATCTAGCCTAACTCTGTCAGCTTGACAGGTGGCGGCAGCTCATGCATGAGTAAGCGCACCAGCCCGGAGCAGAAAAATACCCCTTACAGAGCGGGCCGCATCATCACCAGCGCGTCGAAGTCCGACTGGACACAGCCGCGTTGGGGCTCGATGGGAGCCAGGAGGGTGTAGACGGTGAACGGCAAGCGAACGGGACAACTTTGAATGGTCACGGTCCGGGACAAGAGTCCCAGTGGCAGTCGCGGCACGATAACGCAACGCGTTGCGATGACGGGAAAGAGATCAACGACACATCATGAACAAACAACCGCTACTGGCCTGATTAGGCAGGACTGATGACGAAGAAAAACAATCGCTCGGTCATGGACGCGATGGAAAACCGTATCTTCACGGCTCCTGGATTCACGGTGACAGAATACGGTCCTGAGAGGAAGAGTGCGAGGTGTTGACTACAAGAAATGCAATACAAAAAGGGAATGAAGTGAACACAGTAATTATGAAGGTTTATGGCGGTAATTAATGCGTCAAAGGATACAGTAAACAGTGAATACAGTAAGAAAAGGACAACAGATGAGTACAGGAGAGGAACGATATAAGGGTTGCGCTACATGACTGTCTATTATTGCTGTTTGCATATTAGTTGGCACAACTTCCATTTCGGGAACATTTTGATGCCCCCAGTAAATGATTTTTCCTGACCTCAATTCTGCATGCATTTCGATGATTTTATATGCTAAAATCGTTATTTCATGAGGCGCATCGCCTGGTACCCAAACGGGAAGTCCTTACGGGCTTTTGACAAAGCCAATTTCCGCCAGCACGCGGGTGGCGTGTGATTTTACCTGCTGCGAAGAAAAATATCCAAGCCATCTCCAAAGGTAAGAAGGATGCATAGACCTACCACGTACATCCTCCCAACATTTGGAACAATTCAGAGACCAATTGAGGCTACCGCGACGCGACGAAGCACGCGGATCAATTGGGTGACCCAGGTGATGCGTCACGCCCACGTGTCTGTCTTTTCCTCTCGTTCCTCGGTCGTCGCGATGGGCACCTCGAATCGGGCTCCAACACCAATGATCCACCCAAGCGGGCTCGCAGATGCCCTCACCCAGGTGAAGAACAAAGCTGCTCAGATCTGTACTTCCGCCGCCTTGAAGAAGTTGTCGGAAGAAGTTAACTACCTTTTCCCTGAATTACGGCCACCGATCCAATGCAACGTTCCTGGGTGATGCTGCTGCTGAGCAGCACTCTACCGTGTCTACCGTGTCCCCTCTGATATCGCTGAAAGACGACGAAGTTATTGAGCTTGTTCACAATCGAACCATGGGCCACTGAGATCGGCGAAGGGACAGCGCGCAGACAAGCAGATTGATGTTGAATTTGAGGGAAGGAAGGGAAAGAGGATTACAAGAAGAAGGAATCGGTGGAAGAGGAGAAGCAGATTGCGCTTACAGGACCCTTTGCACTGAACAAACCTGGTCACTCGGGTCACTCTGATTGATGCCCGCACTTCGACACGTCGCCGTGGATGCATTACGCGTCCAAATGCTCTCAAAATCTGAGAAGATGTAGATGAGAGTGATTTCTATCGATCCTTAGTCTTAGATTTGCCCGGGCCATTTAATTAGTCTTGCATAAATTCACACGCCTCCTGTTAAATGGCGGAAATCAGCTTTCCAAAAACTCTGTTTCAGGCAAAATGCGGAGTACCATGCGATGCGCGGCTCAAAACGGTGAATTTAGGGTATGATAACTAAGAAATCCGTGCAGAATTGGCTGAGAAACAAATCAAATACCGCGGTGCATCAAAATGTTCCAAAACGGGAGGTGTGCCAATACATATGCAAACTGCAATAATTACAACAATGGGGGTCCGGCGGGAATGGAACATCGATACAGATATCACAGATTTGCTGGAGTCAAGGGGCGTCGCGGTGGCTTTCCTGGGGAGAGGTTCGTCTTGCAGACATTTCAGTGATATGTTCTTGAGAAAGGAAAACGAATACTCACCGCGGGAGTTCCAGACAAAATCGCGTCCTTCTTGGGACTGCCAGGTCCAGCCGCAGAGATGGTCTGTTTCAGATAGCACGATTTAGTGGTTTGCTGGACGTCAGAAGGTGAGAAAACATACCAAAGCCGCGAGGTGCTGCTCCAGCTGTACACCGAGCTGCTGGTTAACGAAGGCCGAGCGGAGCGTCGACTACGAGAAAAGTGTTCAGCTGGTAAGCTGAGCAAAAACTGCAGGCTCTTACGCGCGCGGAGATCTGAGATGTTCGGGGTGCAGTCAGCGGTGTGTTAATTTTGGCGAAATATGGATGAGTTACCTCCGCAGCGGGCATGAGATACGCTTGCACCGCGGCCATCTGCCCCTGATTTACAAGGAGTTTCGTCAGAGGAATGCATCAAAACGGAGACAAAACGGTACCTCATCCTGCGGGCGTTCGTCCACAGCGTCAGGAAGACCCAGTTCGGCCTCGATGTTGCTGAGGCTTGGTATTTCAGCCCAGATTGAGAACGGCTGAAGGTCGGCGGATCATTGTTGAGCGTTTGTATCGCCTGATGAGAAGAGTGGCTGCGTACCTCCAGCTCGTCTCCTTGACGAGCTGCTTGTCTGAGGCGTAGCGGGGGCGCACTGCGCAGAATGGCTGGATTGAGGGGGCTCAGGCTGCTGGAACGGAAAGCAGGAATCTGGGATGAAACCCGTTTGAATGACAACTTAAAGAACACAGCAAACAAGACCTTACAGCGGGCGGGGAGTAGAAAATGACTCCACGGGAAACATCGGACTCGGATGTGTCTGAGTCGTCTTCCTCGTCGGCCGCCTGCAGGTCACGCAAATTCTCGAGGAACCGGACGGCTGGAACGGAAAGTTGGTTACGGAGGTTAAAACGGGATAAAAGAAGTTATGAACGCACCGGAAGACTTGCATTTCTCTCGTTCCAAGTTCAAGTCAGCCTCAGCCGCCTCAGTCTCCGGCTTCTTTGTCGACTTCCGGGCCGTTTTGCGCGGTGGTTTAAAGCTGTCCATTCGGTCAGCGTCGTGCCTATGCCAGGTGTAGGCGAAACGCACTTGATCGCATAGGCGGCGGTCGCGACCTCTGTAAGGGTCCCGAAAACGGTCTTGAGCCATTTTATGATCGCCTCCGTGTTCTTGCCAACCGATCCCCAAGCATGCCCGACGAAAGTATGAAAGCCGGCTTCAACGGATTCAAGTCCACCCCGGAGCATCCTCTCATCGACCTTCACCATCACAGCCCTCAAAACCTCGGTCGAGGAAATAGCCTGCCGTGCCGTCTAAGGATACCGATGTAAAACTGCGTCTGACTGAATAGCTGCGTGGCTCTTATGTACCTGGAGAAACCCAGCCGGTTTGTCGAGGAGATCTTCCGAGAGAAGAACGAATAGCACGAAGTCAAACACTTCCTTCCCGTGGATACGCAGGCCGTCCCCGGGAGACAGCGCGTCCTCTGCAGTCGGCGCGGCGGTCGCGTCGGTAACAAGTTGATCCCAATCCTCCGGGAAGACCGATGGGAATTGTGGAGGCTCGTACTTGGAAGAATTCACATAGTCCAGGACGGCACGCTTCACTGCGGCGAGAGCCATGTCGGTGCCTCGGTGGGAGTGGCGTGAAAGGGCGGGAGGTGGTGGTGGAAGAAGAAAGGCCGAGCTGCATCGCCACTGACGCGTCAAATGCTTCCTCCGCTCCATAAGGCTATTGTACTTATTAGGTTTGGATCCGCAGAATCGCGGCTGAATCGGGTTGAATAGCGTTGAATGGCAGGGGACTTAATGAGCTCTACGGTACTGTGTGTGGTTGGTGTAGATGGTCAAAAAAAGTCAAACGGACGTGTAACCAATTAACAGGCGGGAGGGCATATATTCACTGAAAATTCAGTCCTTTCGTCGTTACCATAGTTCAGTGGTAGAATGGCCCGCACTGTTTGATTCTCATAATCCGACGGCGGGAGGCCGTGGGTTCGATTCCCGCTGGTGCGACCAGGGTGCCGGGTTCCGGGTGTGACGTTCAGCCCCGCATCCGCGAGAAACGCAGTACATCCTTCATCCCGTGGATTCAACTCCTGCATTTCATTACAACAGCAAAGTTGTGTCTTTTTGGCTTTGTTTTCAGCACTTCAAACTGAAACATAGTCTAGATCATCTGCCAGTTTCATCCCACTCATGCCATTTGGGGTGACTTCATCTCCGTCCAATCTGTTTGCTTACTGTTTGACGAGAGGGAAGGGTCCGGCGGAGGTTATAGCATGCATTCAGTGACGAGTGGCATGGTGCTCGCGGCTTGAACAATTTGTTTTTGTTTGAAAGTCTCAAACTGAACGGCAATCCCTTTCCAGGGCTGAGGATCCTCAATCGAGTTCGCAGACGCGGTGACGCATCGGATAATGTATTATTTGTCGCGACCCCCCGAAGCACACCTAATTTCACCGAGTGTCCGAGCGACATAAATATCAGAAAACTGGCAATGAGTTTGAATTGCAAGATAAACAAAGCGACCCGTGTCAAAACAAGCAGATCAGCGCTACACCAGGAATCCCAATCAAGGTTTACTTAGCCGTAACAACTGGAGCCGCGAACGGGTAGTCGGTGTAACCCTTGGGATCAACACTCCCAGGACGATAGTAAAACGTCCGGTCCGCAACCGTCAGCGGAATATCGTGGAGCAGCCGGTACGGCAGGTCAGGCTGAGTGTTAAATCAATATGCGAGGACAGAGCAACGGCCGCAAGACTCACATTGCCTATGAATTTGCGAGAGAAGGCAATCAAGTCGCCTTTCTCATCGGCGGTCTTGAGGGCTATCTCGCGGTCATAACCACCGGCGCTGATGAGAGGGCGATCGCCCCAGATGTCGCGAATGAAGTCGTTGGAGTAGCCGTCCGGGATCACGTCCCGAGTCTCGCTGCCGTCGGCGCGGGGCTCAACGATGTGCAGATACGCAAAATCGGGATAGCGGCCGCGGAGTTCGGTGACGAGATGCTCATAGGCCGGCTTCGGGTGCTTCCAGTGCATCTCTGCGGGGGCAACCAATGTTAGCACGGCAACCATCGGTAGATGAGACGGAAAGCCCACCGTTGAAGTCGCCCCAAGGGCTGACGCGGAGGCCCGTCTTCTTCTGCCCCACTGCATTGACGACGGCTTCCGCGATTTCGAGCACAAAGCGAGTGCGGTTCTCAACCGATCCTCCATATGCGTCCGTGCGGCGGTTGGTGTGCTCATGCAGGAACTGATCGAGCAGGTATCCATTCGCTGCGTGGATCTCGACTCCGTCGAAGCCAGCTTTGTGCACGGCGTTCGAAGCCGCCGTGGCGTAGAGCTGGATATACTCTCGGATTTCCTCGACGGTGAGCGGTCGAGGAACCTTCTGGCCCTTCATCGGAACGTCAGACGCCGACACATAAGGGAGGCCCTCTGCCTCGAGCGTCGATGCCTCCGCAGCCCGGCCAAGGGCCCACATCTGCAGAATGATGTACGATCCTTTCGCGTGGACCGCGTCAGTAACCTAGTCCAGACACTGAGCTTTGTTGAGAGAGGCGGATTATTGAAATCTACCTTTTTCCATGCTGCAATCTGCTCCTCGGACCAGATGCCAGGGATATTGTTGTAGCCTCCAGCACGGGGAGCGATGAACGTTGCCTCGCTTATGAGGAGGGTACCGGGGGTGCTACCGCGCTGTTCATAGTACTCGGCCACATGAGGGAGAAGAACATGATCCTTGTCGCTCCGGAAACGCGTCGACGGCCCAAAAACGACACGGTGACCGAGCTTCATATCGCCCACAAGGGTCGGCTGGAAAAGCTTGGAGGTCGACATTGGATCTAAATTGAAAAGGGCTAAAATTGCTCTTAATCGGAATTGGCCCAGGCATTTTATACCCTAAGTGGGCCTCGGGCGGGGTCGTTTCCGCTAGATTTGAAAGCTCGGGTATGGTTGGTAATGATTGCTACGCGGTCTTAGAAAGCCTTCAGCGACTCGAAAATATCTTCTTCGGTCGTCGGCGAATCAACAACGGTTGGACAAGAGCCTTGCCGCTAAAACCCGGGTGGACGGGTAGTGGATAACAAAGCTTGAAATCAAACATACAGTGAGTCAGAAAATGGGGTAGTACCCCGAGCGGGCCGCATGGCCATGACACCATCATCCCAAGCCCATCGGAGTCCGGCTGGAATCAGTCATGTTGGGGCTCGATGTGGACCAGCCGAAGGCAGCGCGGGCGAACGGACAATTTCGAAGGAGTCGCGCCAGATCGTGGTCGCATATTGAAAGCAGAGAATATCACAAACAAACAACCGCTACTGACCCGATTGGGCAGAACTGATCGGGAAGAAAACAGTCGTCCGAACTCCGATACGTAGGCAGCTCCGTGAATGTATATCTTCGATTTTACGGTGTGTCCCAGCTGGCTCATAGTCGAGAACGTGCTATAAGAAATGGCAATTGGAAGGAAAGTTGGAGCAAGACTCGAGAAGAAAAAGGAGTGGCAGCGTTACACAACAAGACAAAAAACAGCACAGATGGGATTAGACAGTAGCCAGCCGTTTTCTCGACTGCTGCTCGGCAGAGACATTACGGCTCGTGCATCAAAATTGTGTACTGTTTTACTGCACACGCGGTCAGTGAGGAGTCCGAAAGACGCCGAAATAATATCAACTACTCACAGGGAACAGTTCCGGCTCTCCTCTTGGCGATAAGGCTGTCGGCCGCCCCCCAGTAATCAATGCCCGTCAGCCCACCGCGCTGCCAGTCTACGTTGGAGCTCACTGGCAGCTTCACCGTGACGAACCATGGCTGTATCCTTAAACTAGCCACCATGATACTGGCGCCATGATCCGGCTCGTGGCACAGAAATATGAGAGCGTCGAGCAGTGGCGCACGTAGACCCAATACATCAACAAGGCGCGGGCACGCTTGTATCTCACTGAAAGCGAGGTGTGTGAGATTAGGGATTTCGCCGAGCTTCCACCACGGTACGCTGCGATGCTCAGTGTCGAGCACCTCTAGGTGCGTGATGTTGCGGAACACAGGGTGCGAAAACCTGAGGTCCCTGGGCCGGCAAAGCTTGCTGACGTGAATGCCGAGGACGCGGAGAGCAGGCATGTCGCTCAGCGCTTTCAGTTCGTCTGGCTCTAGTTGCCGTGTGTTTATATGCAGGAAGAGATGGGTGACGCCTGTGCAAGCCGCCATGATGGTGCTCAGGCCGCGAAGGTGGGATCCGTCGTCAGGGTCCTGGATGATTAAATGCCGGGTATTCGCGAGTAGCACCTCGCGTCTTCCGTCGATCAGGCACAGGAGCGCGGCGTTGGTGAACCGAGGGAGTCCTTCGACTAGGGCACTGTGTTCACCATCCAGACAGATAACTCGATAAAACAGAGGCTCGAGCCTATGAAGGAGTTATAGCGAAGGCGAGGCAGGAAACAGGAGCAGTGAGAGTCATTACTGACCAGGTCCAGACCCGCCAAGCAACGCGCATGAGGTTCAAGAGATTCGGATAAGGGTAAGAATGTGCAGCGAGTTCGAAGATTTTTCTCTCCAGCTCCGAGGGGAGCTTACGGTCTGAGGAAACCTGTAGATTTGCGGCGGAATTGGGCACGAGAAAGTCATTGGCACCGGGGTTTGTTGAATTCGACATGGTGGTTCTTCCGGAGATGACTTGGGCGTTAACGCCCTGGTTGGCGCCCGCACTGCCACCAACACTGACCGAAAAGAGTCTAAGGGAAGGTCGTTTGGGCCTTGGATTTACTTGCCAGCTCAAGGATACATGTCGACTTCCCGGCAGGCGGCGCTGGTCCAGAATATATTGACCAATACATGTACAGTGAATGTACAAAGATACACATTGCTCTGTTCTGCTAAAAGTACACACATTCGATACACGCATACGGAACCGGGAATTACATTTGGATGTGGCATGCCAGGTCAGCGTCACTGGTCGGGAACGTCTTCAAAAAGACTGCAACGATTATAATGCGCCGACACCGCTGACTGGATCTCTCGCCGCAACGCAGATCGCACGATCGTTTCCCCGCACAGGTAGCAGAAGTGAGTGTTGCAGGACGGGGACATACACTTGAAAGCCATTAAACAAGGCTCTATAGGACGCGCGGCAGCTCACCGTCATATGATTGCACCCCGAGGATTTTTGGAAGGGTGTCTTGCAGCCTGGGACTGAAGTCAGCGGCTTTCGGTCAAAACGCAAGGCACAAACCAGGACAGTGCTTCCATCCCCGGGTCTTCATCAAGTGCTCGAGCTCTAACGAGCCATCGCAGGAGTGCTTCGGCCCGCCGATTACGATGGCTTGCTGGCACGCCTTGCACCACGCGTGATCGCACTTCGGGAACGGACAGACGAGGATCGGCGAGGCTTCGTATTCCTCACGGTCGACGAATACCGACTCCTTACATCTATGAAAGATTAATTCAAACTAGAGAGCGGGCGGGTTCGCGTACTTGCGGCAGTGCAGCAGAATCGAGAGCGAGGCGATCTGCAGCTCTTGGAGGATTTGATACTGCTTGTCGTCGAGGCCGAGCGTCTGCACCAGGTCATCCGTAACAACTGGGATCCCGTAAGCCAGACACCTATAGATATAGGAAGCGCAACGCACCTCCAGTCTCAGCGCGCGCGGCGTCCGTCACACACATCGGGCAAAATATAGGGTAGAGCTTGTCCTTGAGCTTCGAGACGACATAGCCCTTCATACAGTCCCGACAGAATCCGTGCCCGCAATCCGCGACGCGCGCAACGTCGTCCTCTGGATGCTTGTCGAAGCAGACCCCGCACTCGAACACCCGCTGCGCGAGTTTTTGCAGCGCCGCACGCTCCACGAGCAGCCGCGCGTCCTCCTCCTCGAATTCGCGTTGCTTCGCATGCGCTTTCAGCGCGTCGTCGCGCTGCGCTTGGTCCCAATCCCTCTGCAGCTGCGCGGCAAGCAGGAAGTCGTCGTCCCGGGGGACATCTGTAGACTGGGTTGCTTGCGCATAGCT